CTTTTTGCGCAGTAAGGTCAAAGCGTTCGACATTTGCACGATTCAAACTGGTATGCCCGATAGGCGTTGTAATGGACAACATTGCTGCAGGCCAATTATATAAAAATGTCCTTAAAGACTAAAAAAGAAAAAATAGAGAAATAGAAAGAGACAAATCGAGTGATTCCTCCTCCAAGGTCTGAGCCCTCCAGTCTGCATGAGAGCAGGGTCTGGGAGTCAGAGAAGCCAGGTTGACAACTGCAGCCTGTGTCATGTTCTAGGAGTGGGACTTTGGGCAGATGACTCCACCTCTGTGAACCCCAATTTCGCCATCTGCAGTGTGGTAAAAGTGTTGTGGCTGCTGGGAGGGTTAGAGATAATTTCTGTATACTATAAAACAGACATATAATAGGTATGAATTAAATTATTATTACCCCTATTATCATTATTATTACCGTCACCACTGGTAATTAGGACGGCAGTGCCCACTCCTTCCTCAGGTTCATGCAGCCTCTTTTCCTCCCCAACCCCCACCCAATGGCATCTTCCTCCAGTGACCTTAAGACCTCAGAAACTTTCAAAGTGTGGGAATGCTGACGACTCCTGGTGTGGAGGTCAAGCCCCCAGATCCACCTCCCCCACTTCCTAGGGCCCCACATGGGGAGGGCTTGGGTGGTGTAACAGTTGGGCCCCTCATCTCTCTACCCTCGACCCTCCTGCATTACTTGAGGCTCTGAGATGTGACTCCCCTAATTTCTCCCCACAGGACACACCGGGCTACCTGAGTGTCCACCTCAGACCTGGACGACAAGACCAGAGGGCAAGGAGGTGAGGGAGTCTGATGGAGAAGGGCTGAGACCCGATTGGGACCAGCCAGGGTGGACAGGGTCCAGGGTCTCTCTGGACATTCGAGAGAGGGAATCAGCCCAGTCACACCAAGATGGGAGACAGAGGCTCCTGGCAGAAGTCTTGAGGCCCCACTTAGGACTTGGGATGACACCATGGGCAGCATGGCCATTGGCAGCTCCAAATGCCAATCAGAGCTGGCCAATAGGATGCAGGCTGGGGCGGGCCATAAGCAGAGCTCTGGCTCTAATTCCCAAGGCTCCTCCCCCCTCCCCCTCAGCTCCTGAGGGTCCAACTTCTCAGTTTCCCGCACTGGACCCCATGGCATCATCAGAGATGCTGCAAAGATGCCATCTCGGCAGTGCCAGGGACAGGGATACGGACCAATCTAAAAATGTCCCACAACAGGAAATCGTTTAAATAGGGAACAGCGCACCCTGAGTTAAGCTTTCATCCTGAGAAACCACCTGCGGAAGGATGCTTCCTACTGCGGAAAATGCTCAAGACCTGACATCAAGTTAGAAATATGGAAAGCAAAGCTGCATCTGACAGGATCGTAGTTACGAAAAATCGGTTAATAGGCAAAGATAGATATAATATACACAGCATGTTTATATGTGTTTTCCACAGTTTTATGTGTACAAACACAAATTGTGGAAAACATTAAATATTAACAATGCCATCTATTTTTTAATATTGTTCTTTATACCTTACTGTAATATATAGTAAAGTGGATTTTTTTTTCACAAAGTGCACAAATGCTCTTATAATCAGAAAAACAAACCTAAAACAGGGAAGTAACTTCAAATTTCATAATTCAACTTCTGGAACTTTTTCTCACCTATCTTCATGAATATGATCCTAAATATCTAAGGAGATTAATTCATCATAATGGCATTTATAATTGAAAAAACAAAGAAAGAATGTGGGAGGGGAGAGAAGAAGGGAGGAAGGGACGGAAGCAGGGAGAGTGAGGACAGAGGCTCTTTACTGGCTGAGTCTGACTCTGTGTGGGCTGCAGGCCCTGCTCTCAGGAACAGCTTCACTGTGGAGCACCCTCCTCACAGGGCTGCAGGGAGGAAGCAGTGAGCAAATGCTCACAGTTACGACAGTGCCTGGCACAAGGCCATCCCTTGGTTAGGTGCACCTCTGTGGCCCACTGATTAAACCCCGTCTATGGCCCACTGATTAAAACCCATTTGCAGCTGTCTGGATTCCACCTGGTCCCTGCACTTGTGTCCTGTGTGGCTCTGTGACTCCCCGAGTGACTGTGAATCCTGTGTGGGACAGGACAGGTGCAGGATCCCATGCACAGTGGTGCCCAGCAGGGGTGCTGCCTTCACTGCACTGGCTTCTTAGGGCTGCTAGGACACATTGCCACAAACTGGGTGACTTAAAACCACAGAGATTGATTCTCTCACAGTTCTGGAGTCCAGGTGTCCAAACTCAAGGTGTCAGCTGGGCCATGCTTCCTCTGAAGGTCCTAGGAAGAATCCTTTGCCTCTTCCAGCTGATGGTGGTTGCCGGCAATCCTTGCCATTCCTGGCTTTCTGGCACCATAAGTCCAATCTCTGTCTCCATTGTCACTTGGCCTTCATTTCTATGTGTGTCTCTGTGTCCGAATTTCCCTCCTCGCATCAGGACACCAGTCATGGGATTTATGGACTGTCCTAATCCTGTTTCACTTAATATTATCTTGATTGCATCTGATAAGACCCTATTTCCAAATTAACTCACTTTGGCAGGCACAGGAGTTAGTACTTAAACATACCTCTCGGGGGACAATATTCAACCCACAGCACTGGGGGTTCATGATCAGAACTATGTGACCACCTGATGTTTCCCAGTGTCCATCTCCAGTCCTCCCCTCATGAGGTGCTGAATGCTGGTCTCCACCGGGACATCCCAGAGACTCTGGAGCAGTTGTCCTCAAACATTTTGAACAGGGGGCCAGTTCACTGTCCCTCAGACCGTTGGAGGGCTGTGGAGAGTGCGGCGCACATTCCACACATGCGCACTGTAAGCCCGGAACGAGTCGGCTGCTAAGCAGGACAGGCAGCCGAGGCAAAAACACCCGGCTGCTAAGCAGGACAGGCAGCCATGGCAAAAACACCCAGCGGGCCGGATAAATGTCCTAGGAGGGTGGCATGTGGCCTCTGGGCCACAGTAGAGGACCCCTGCTCTGGAGCATCTGCCATGTGAATCTGTCCTCACTGCGCCCGTGCCACCCTTGCCCCCAGCACCCGAAAGAAATGAAAACATCTCAACACAGTCTTCTGCAAACATCTTCACAGCAGCTATATTCATAATTGCAAAAATGAAAGCAAATATTCATGAACAAAAACTAGTAGGTAAAGGAACAGTGACATACTGTGGGATCCTGGTCAGTGATAACAGGGACTACAATGCTGACACATGAAACCACATAGATAAATCCCAAAAAGTACCATGCTAAGTGAAAATAAAATGAGACACAAGAATACATACCATAGAATGCCAAATATATAATGTTTAAAGACATGGAAAAGTAATGTCTAGTGATAAGTATCAGAGTGTGTTGGTTCTCATGTTGGGGATTGACTGGGCATGGGAGCCAGGAGTTTTCTGCTGTGATGGGAAATTTCCATATCCTTGATTGGGGTCCTGATTGGGGAACACAGGTGTACAGGTTTGGCAAAACTCATGGAATCACATGCTTAAGATTTGTGTATTTGTAGCAGGTGAATTTTGCCATAATTTAAAAAACGAATGATACTTTTCATTTTTAAGAAAAAATTAAACAAACAACTTTCAATTAAAATAGCTAATAACTGGGTGACAATGAACAAATAAATGAAGAACGGCCAAAAAAATTGAGATGTTCCCATCCCTTATCTACTCAACTTCACCTTTCTTCTCCCTCAGCCTCTGGACGATTTACTATCACCTCTTTAGCAAATATCAAGACCATTCATGAATACTATTTCCTACTAACTTATGGCCAAAGGGGCCAGGCTTGCAGGTTACATGACTAAATGTTAAATGAGAGCAGAGACTCAGAATCAGGTGGGGTTAAAACCCCAGCCCTGCCCGGAGTAGCTGAGTGGCCTTGAGACAGCCCCAGTGAGATTTCCATACATGTAAACCTGGTGGAATGAACAGGTCAGGAGAGTGAGTATACCCATCACTGAAACTGCATCAGATCAATCTGGTTCAATTTTTATGTAACAAAGTTGTGATTTGTTTTGCAGTTGCCCCGAACCCCCAGTTTGAAGATCACATAACCTGAGTTTGCCCTGAGCATGCAACCACAGGCGGAACCTAAGTGCTTGGGCCCAGGAGTGGGGACTGAATTCAGAAGCGCACAACACATGGATGGATCCAGGTTCCAATCAGACTGTGCCCTGGTGTCACCTCCAGGTCAGGATCCAGTCACACGTCATTACCCTATGTCTATAAAACCTGTCCTAACCCCTGCTCACGGATACAGGTTTGGGCCTGACTCCTGTCTCCTCGTTCAGCTGGCTGGAAATAAACCTTCCTTGCTGCAAAAACCTGGTGCTTCCATGTTTGCCTTTACATTGTGCATGAGGAGAAGGACCCAGATCTGTTTGTTAACATCAACTCATCATTTCTTTTTAGTAAGAACATTTATAATCCTCTCTTTTACCTATTTTGAAATATACATGATTCTCTCATTTGAGAGAGCATGGATCAAACTAAAGGACATTATGTTAAGTGAAATAAGCCAAGCACAGAGAGACAAATACCTTTTATTCACACTTACATGTGGAGTCTATAACAGTCTAACTCACAGAAGCAGAAAGTGGAATAGTGGGTATGAGAAGCTGGGAGACAGGGCCGAGCAGGACACAGAAAGGGAAGACAGGGGTCAGTGGGCACAAGGTTTCAGTTTCACAGGAGGAAGAAGTACTGGGGTTCTGCTGCACAGTGTGGGGCTGTGGAGGGCTTGGACTCTGCAGGAATGAGCCTCTGGCGTCCCCTTTGCTGGAGGGGCGGGATCCCCCCACCAGGGCCCAGTCTCCACAGTTTCTCACTGGCGGATCTTGATCTCTGAGTACTCTCTGCCTGTGGCCTCCTGTCCTGCAGTGTCCTGAGCCTTCCTCTTCTGGAAGCTGACAGATGCATACTGCACCTCTTGTTCCTGCCCTGAGGAGGGGGCGGCCACAGCTCGGGGAGCCTGGTCGGGGGGGCTGTCACCTGCCTGGGGTCCAGTCAGGGACTCCTGAGTGAAGAGAGAAGGAGGGAGTCAGAGCAGACAATGGGGACAGGACAAGGCAGGGAGGCCAGGGAGGAAGGCCATGAGTTCCTTCACCCACTCGTCCTTCAGGCATTTTTGTGGAATCTCCTTCTTCCAAGTTTCTATAAACATTCAGTACTTAATGAGCACCTCCTCAGGTGTTTATCAATTTCATTAAATTCTCACAACAATTTGATGAGGGAAATATTAAATTGCCTTCATTTTATAGATCCGAGCACTGAAGTGGAGGCAGGAAGCAGCCTGCTCAACTCCCTGCTGCACCAGGATCCGACCCAGGCAGTTCTCTGCCCCCACAGCCTGCTGTGCCACGGAGGCCCCTGCGTGTGAGGCCCTAAGCTGGGAACCGGGTGTGCTGGGTGGACAAGGTGGACAGGGGCCCAGACCTCCTGCAGCTCTCTCTGTAACTGAGGGAAGTGGCAATAAATATCCATCAAACAAAAAATGCTCATTTATGAATTATTATGATGGCCCAAAGCAAGGTCTGTGATAATTATAGGCCGTTGATTCAGACATGGCACTTGCCTGTAGGAAGCTCATAGTTTGGTGAGGGGGCCGGTGTAGAGACAAGCCAGTCACAACAAGCATATCCCTCTGACCAGAAGAGAAATGGTTCACAAAAATGTCCCCACCCTAACCCCCTGGACCCTGGGGGTATGTAACCTTACGTGGCAAAAGGGACATTGCAGATAGAGGCAAGTTAAGGACATTGAGATGGGAAGATTACCCTGAAATATTTGGATGGACCCAATGTGATCAATGAGTCTTAACAAGAAAAAGAGGGGACAGGTAGAGAAGGGACCAGAGCTGAGGGTCGCAAGCACCTCTGGAAGCTGGAAGACCAAGAAAGTGGGTCTTCCCTGCAGCTGCCAGAAGGCACCGCCCTGCCGGCCAACACCTTGATTTTAGCCCAGGGAAACCTCCTGTAGACATCCGAGCACCAGAACTGTAAGACAACACATTTATCCTGTTTGAAGCCACAGCAGAGGTGATGCAGGCTGCCCACGAGGACGTCTGCTTAACCTGAACCCTTCTCGGCTGTCCCTCTGAACACCAGAATATGTCCACAGAACTGTCAATGAGTTTGCTCCTCCATTCTCTTTAGATTATTCAAATTAGAATTCACACACACACACACACACACACACACACACACACACAGCTTTTCAGCACAGTTAGTATCAAGATCACCACAATCTCCACCTGGCTAATCCGAATGCCCATGTGTCAGTGTTCCCCGTCCTGGGTGTGGCAGTAGCAGAGGACCCAGTTGCACATGCTGCCTGCACTGAGGACCTCCATTACTCAACTGCAGGACATCACAATTTCCAGGTTCATCCCACCTCCTTGGAAGCCCTTTTGCTGGTTACGCCACTTCTCCCTGACCCCTAAATAGCAGAGCTGCCCAGAATCTTTACTTCTTCAACTTTGCTTTGTAATCTGACCCACTATGTTGGTTTCATGACACTTATGTACTGATGATCTCCAAATCCGGAATTCCATCACATTCCCCTCTCCTGGTTACAAACTTTGATCCAACAGTATACTTGAAACTCTGACTCCCTGCTCCAAAGACACATAAACCTCAGCCTATTTACACTGAACGTCTTCTTTTCTCCCCCAGATCTCCTTCTCCTCCAATATGCTCACCCTCAGTGACTACCACCTCCATTCTTCCAGCAGCTCAGATCAAAAATCCAGGAGACATCCCTCACCCTCTCTATCACTCATAGCCCACTCCTAAGTCATTAGCAATTAACATGAGCCTTCACTTCAAATTCGTCCATAATCCAGTCCGGCCCAGCCTCCATGGCCATCCTCCAGCTGGGTCATCTCCTGCCTGGAATGTCCACCAGCCTCCTCTCTGACTCTCTGCTTCTGCTCTTCCTCTCCCACACCTGCTCTCTTCTGCACAAACTCTCCAGATGCTCACAGTGGCTGTGCGTTCAGACATGACACGCACACAGGCAGGGCTGGTCCATGCTCAAACTATACTACAAGGCTATAGTCATTAGATCAGGTTGGGATTAGCATAAGAACAGGGACATTAACCAGTGGAACAGAACAGAGAACCCAGATGTAAAACAATTCTCATATAGCCATCTAATCTTTGACAAAGCAGACAAAAGTATACACTGGGAAAAATAATCCTTATTCAATAAAGGGTGCTGGGAAAACTGGATAGCCACATGTAGAAGACTGAAACAGGATCCACACCTCTCACCTCTCTCAAAAATCAAGTCACACTGGGTAACAGACTTAAACCTAAACTCTCTAACTATTAGAATTCTACAGGAAAACATTGGAAATACTCTTCTAGACATTGGCCTAAGCAGAGAATTTAAGAAGAAGACCCCAAAGGCAATCACAGCATCAACAAAAATAAGTAAATGAGACCTGATCAAATTAAAAAACTTCTACACATCCAAAGAAACTGTCAAGAGAGCAAAAAGAAAACCTACAGAATGGGAGAAAATTTCCACATGCTACACATCGGATAGAGGGCTGATAACTAGAATCTATTTAGAACTCAGGGAAATCAGCAAGAAAAAATCAAACAATCCTACCAAAAAGTGGGCAGGAAACATGAACAGAAACTACTAAAAGAAGACAGAATAATGGTCAACAAACATGAAAAATTGCTGTACTGAATGTTTATAGAAAACTTGTAAGAAGGAGATTCCCAAAAATGCCTGTAAGGACCGAGTGGGTGAAGGAATTCATGCCTTCCTCACCTGGCCCCGCCTCTGCCTTGTCCTGTCCCCATTGTCTGCTCTCACCCCTTCTTTCTCCTCTTCACTCAGGTGTCCTGACTGGACCCAGCAGGTGACACCCCCAGACCAGAGCTCCCAGCTGGTGCGCCCCTCCTCAGGGCAGGAACAAGAGGTGCAGTATGCATCTGCCTATGCTTCCGAAGAGAAGTCAGTGACACTGCAGGACGGGGATGGCCCACAGCAAGAGTACTCAGAGATCAAATCCACAAGTGAGAAAAACTGTGGAGACTGGCCCTGTTGGGGGATCCGCCTCCTGGCAAAGGGACGCCAGAGGCTCATTGCCTGCAGAGATCCAAGCCTCCCACAGCCCCACCTGCGCAGCAGATACCCACGAGCTTCCTCCTCCTGTGAAATGAAACCATTGGCCCACGTACCTCTGTATCCCTTTCTCTGTCCCTGCTCGGCCCTCTCCAGCTTTCATACCA